GTCCTGCTTCCCTGGGCCTGGGGCTGGCCCTGGGCTCCTCTTGTCTCCTTGCTGCTTGCGTTTGGCCTCCCCCAGGCTCACCACCACTGCACTGCCCCCTCCTCTCCCCGCTCCACAGCATGTGGCAGGAGCCCTCCCCGGGGCCAGCCTTCCCTCCAGGTGAGTCAACTCCTGAGCAGTGACAGCTCAGAGCACGTCTCGTGGCTGACAGTGCAGAACAGCCACTGTGAAGGGGGAGGTGTCTTCCTTCCTCCTATGTCCTCTGGGCCTTTTATTGTGACCCTTACTCAAAGGACACTTGGAAAGGGCCTGACATGGCGGTGGCAACTCCTCCTGGAGGCCACAACATGAACGCTGTCGTCATTTTCAACTTTCAGCCACAGTTAACCCCAGAGCTGAGCGGGTCGGAGGGTGCGTGGCTCAAGCTGCTCAGGGACTCCGCCTCCCTCTAAGCAGGGCTCCTCAGGGTTTGTGACACCCAGGGCCAACTTTATTGTCACCTTTGCACACCCACGAGCTGGTCTGCCCTCCCGCAGTGCAGGGGGCCCAGCCTTCCTGTTTGGTGGGGAGAGAGGACCCCTGGGACCTTCCACCGCCGTCACCCTGCCACTGGGTTCACGACTTTTCCCAGGAAGAGCAGACTCTGGGTGGTCACCTCCCAAAGCAGCAGCAGGAAGGGCCTGTTGAAATGGGCGTGAGGGGCCGACGTTGCGTTCAGGGGCGGGGGCTGTGAGAGGAGGCCAGAGGCGGCCGCTGCCTGGGTTCCCTTCTCATTCATGTCCACCGCGGCCTTGTGTGACACCTAGAAGGAGAGAAGAGTCAGAGACGGCTCAATTAGTGGCCTTTGAGGGCAGAGGCTGCCTGCTGGACACTGGGGAGGAAGCCACCTGATCAGGCCCCAGGGCCCTGCCTGCCTAGGAAACCTTCGCTCCATTCCCTTCTCTCTCCATTTTCTCTCTCCTGAGGGTCACCCCCTGCACACCCAACAGTGATGTCACCCTCAGGCAGAAAGACAAATGGGCCTGAGCCTGACAGGAGCCGCCTGTGTTCTCCCAGCTGCAAAGCCTCGGGCCCAGGCCTGGAGGCCCAGCCCAGCCTACCTCAAAATAAAGAGCTCAGGGTCACCCAGCCCCCCACTGGCTCCCATGGGAGGAACTTCTTTTCTAACCTCATTTCACACAATTTCCCAGGAAGAAAGGGTTCTGAGCCTTTAAAAGAAGCTGGATTAAAAAAAAAATGACCTTGATGTTTCCTTTTATTTCCAAAAGGTTCTAGGAAAAGACAAGCACTTAAAAGGTACTGTGCAAAAGCCTCTTTAAGACATTTGACTACTTCTTTTCCTTCTTCTTCACCCACCTGCTGCACAACGCAGGAGCATGCGTGTGTGCGTGCACACA